CACTCTGACACACACTCTCTCTCACACACACACTCTTTCTCTTTCACACACACACTCACACACACATAGTCACACTCTCTCACTCACACACACACACACACTCTCTCTTTCACACACACTCTGACACACACACTCTCTCTCACACACACACTCTCTCTCTCTCACACACACTCTTTCACACACACACACATACTCACACTCTCTCACACACACTCACATTCACACACACACACACACTCTCACACACACACACTCTCACACACTGGTTACCCAACCAGTGCTTCGTAACATTGTGACAGAAATGCCAAAGATGTAGTTTTTGAGTAAGGTTACACTAACACACCGCTTCACAATCATGTGTTAGTGTGAAGTTTGGATACATGCGAGACTGAATTTAGTCACACTTTATTTTAAGGTCTAATTCTCACTGTTAACTAGCTGTTAACTATGGCTTGTGCCTCAAACTGCTAATTTGCTGCTTATTAACAGTAAGGTAGTTGTTAAGTTTAGGTATTAGCTAGATTAGGGATGTAGAATATGCTCATGCAGAATATGTGCTTTATAAGTAGTAAACAGCCAATATGTAAATAGGCATGCTGGTAAGCAACTAGTTAATAGTGAAAATTGGTCCCCTATACTAAAGTGTTAAATGTGCGATTGCATAAACCTTCTGCTGAAATGATGCTGAACGTTAGTTTTGGAGGCAAATGTTCGAATTTGATAAAACAATTTGTATTCAACCCTAAACCTTCCTCTAATGCATGTAGTTACCTTATATTACCCATTATTTTCTTAGGTACATGTAAGTACACATACTGTTAAATTAAGTGCAACCAATAGTTTTATGTAACATTTAATCACTACAAAACTACCAACATGTGATTGAAAGTTTCACACACGTCAGATGTCTGAGAATCCTGGTCCTGCAGAGGTTTGGAGCTGCTGTGAGCGGTTCTGCAGTGTTGTTATTCAGCTCAAGTCAGTTTAATGTGGATTCGGTTCAGTTTATAACCTGTGAAGCAGCTCTACAGAAGACAACAGTTCTCCAGCGTAACTCAGTCCATGCAGTCATATCGATATATAACTTCAGACCCCAGCTAATGTACTACTGGAACGCTTCAAACTACATCTACTGATTTGTCACCATAGTAAGTCTTGAAAATATTTTGTATATCCAACAGCCGTTTAGTTTTTCTGGCGTTCTAGTTTTTTTTTTTCATAAAATAAGGGAAGTTTTAATTTATTTTTTAGGATTCCTGTGATGGAGAACTTCAGGATGAAGACTGACTTTGCTGTTGTCTGATTGTATTAGTATTTTTTTCCCCACATACATCTTATGGCACTGATCAGAATAATGTTTTAACATTTTAACAACCTCTTCCTTCGATCAGGGCACAGTGGCCCATCCATGCATGCTCTGACCTGCTTGTGCTGTGTTTGCAGGCTGCAGTGGAAACAGACTCGCTCTCATTCAGAGCTGCGGTCACTAATGTTTGCAGCACATCTTTGGGGAAGCTCTCGCAGACACAGAAAAGTCTCGTGCTTCAGCCGGGACAGGACACATTCATATTTCTTTGAAAGATACAGTTCTGTTTATTATATATTTAAATCTTTATATGGTGTTAATATCACTTGTTTACATTAACAGTTTTATGAAAATATAAATATTGCCCAGTCAGTCTGGAACATGTATAATGATAAATTATGAACTGTGTCCCTTTATTCCTTTCAAGAACAGAAAATGTTATTTTTTTTGGTGCACATAAATGTATGGTTACACAACTGAAAAATGCAATGAACAGACAAGGGGCCTCATTTATAAAATGTTGCGCAGAAACCATCCTAAATTTGATCTTGCGATCATCTCTCAAATATGCATACGTGTGATTCATAAAATGAATGTACGCATCTTTCAGATGTGAAATCTATGAGTCACAAATGATCTTGAACTTGCGCGCAACAATGGTTTCAGCACTCTGCTTGTAAACAGCTCATAATGTCATTAACATATAAAAGATCCCCAGTCATCGTCCAAATTCTTTAATTTACAACAGCTTACATTTCCAAAAACCTGCAGTACTCCGACAAGAACAAGTGTGTGTGCTCAGACCCTGACGTGACGCTACGCACTTTTCCACGTCAAAGACAGTTTTTACTAATATGAGCGCTGGCGTGGATTTAAGCACACACACATACACACCAAGATCAAATCTGAGCAACGCACACTTTATAAATGAGGCCCTCAGAGTTGAAACGATTTGTTCTTGTGTTCATGAAACTGTTGGTGAAGAATCAGAGCGATCTGGAAACATTTAAACTCGAGACCCAAAAGATGAAGATACTGTAATATACCACACATATGTGACGCTGCAGCACAAAAGCAGTCATAAGCAGCACAGGTATATTTGTAGCAATAGCCAACAATACATTGTATGGGTCAAAATTATACATTTTTTAAATGCCAAAAATCATTAGGATATTAAGTAAAGATCATGCTCCATGAAGATATTTTGTAAATTTCCTACCGTAAATATATCAAAACTTAATGTTTGATTAGTAATATGCATTGCTAAGAACTTCATTTGGACATTTTCTCAATATTTAGATTTGTTTTGCACCCTCAGATCCCAGATTTTCAAATAGTTGTATCTCAGCCAAATATTGTCCTATCCTAACAAACCATACATCAATGGAAAGATTATTTATTCAGCTTTCAGATGATGCATAAATCTCAATTTCCAAAATTGACCCTTATGACTAGTTTTGTGCTCCAGGGTCACATGTAATATTGAGTTTGCACAGACTGACATGATACAAGAAACAACAACCGAGGGAATTATTTTCCAGTTCACAGTGTCTCTTACTCTGTTTTCTGTTTGTTGAGTCTCCGTCTCCCGACCTCGGTGAGCACAGAGCCCAGCACGGCTCCGACAGCGCCTCCTACAGCTCCTGCGAGGAACACACCGAGCGCCACTCCCGTCAGAGCCCCGGCGGCCAGCAGCTTCGGCACGCGTCCGGCGCAGCGGCTCGTCGTCTGCCACACGGAGCGGAGCGGAGCCGGAGCCGAAGCCGGAGCTTCCTCCTCTTCCTCCTTCAGAGCGTGCAGAGAGCGGTCTCTGTCTCTCGGGATCTGGTTCTGCTGGAAGAGCGAGGCACTGTAGAAGTCTCCTCCGCTCTCCCTCACCGTCTGCTGCACCTTCTCCAGCAGCTCCTTCGCTCCGCCGCTCTGCAGGACGTGATAGCGATCGCCGCATCTCTGCACCAGCTCCAGCATCTCCGGCCGCCGGGAGGTGATGTACGCCTCCACCTGCTCCACCTCCGCTGCGTCCGGCAGCAGCTCCGAGCGCGTGAAGAGGACGATCGTGTGCCGGCGGACAGCGTCCGGTCCGAATGCACCCTCCAGCGCGCTCAGGGCTGACAGCTCGGAACGAGCGGGACGGTCAACGGGGACGCAGAGCAGGAACGCATGAGGGCCCGGGGCCAACAGGGCTACACATGAGGAGATCTGAGCTTTCACCTCCTCAGGAGATCTCTCCGACTGAAACCAGTCCGGCGTATCCACCACTGACACCTGACGGAGACAGAAACGAGGCTCGATCACGTGTGTCCTTCAAACACACAGTCACTCAGCTTCAGAACTTAAAGGGGTCATCGGATGCCCATTTTCCACAAGGTGGTATGATACTCCAGGGTCTTAATGAAAGTCTGTAACATACTTTGGTTAAAATTTCTCAATGGTAGTGTAAAACAACACCCTTTTTACCCTGTCAAAAACAGCTCTGTTCACAGCGACCTGTTTCGGTGTATGTCCCTTTAAACGCTAATGAGCTCTGCTGACCCGGCCCCTCTCTTCTGTTAAATTCACCATTCATATTCATGCAGTTAAAACTGCTCAAAAACTATTTAAAATACATTTATAAATGACTTCATTATTTAGTCAAAACACCTTTATTAACCCTCTACAAAAGCAACCTTAATGTAGTGTACTGGACGCGACGAAGTGATCGTTGCAAATCATCAGTTTACTGTCGGGGATTTGTCATGCCGTGCCGCATCCAGTGTAGACAGCTTCACTGATTATAATGAGTTCTACAGTATTTTGTCACGCCGCTCACGTCCGGTGTGAGACTGTTAAAGTGCCCCTATTATGGATTTTTGAAAATGACCTTTCATGCAGTGTGTAACAGCTCTAAGTGAATGAAAACATCCTGCAAAGTTTTAAATCTGAAAGTGCACCGTGTATAAAGTTATTGTCTCTCAAAAGAAAGAGTGGACTCTGAATCATTGAAACCAGTCGTTTTTAAAACGAATCTCAAGCCGTTTCATCTTGACGTCAATATGAGACCTTAGCATATTGCCAACCCACTTGTTGGTCTTTTCGTGTTGGTCTGAATAAAAATGCAAATTCATTCTTTGCCACTAGCACTGCGCTCACAAACGCTGCTTTATCAGGCTTTACAGGCGAGATCCAATCGACCAATCACCGCAGATTAGCGTCACGCAAAGCAGGGGTTTGGAAAAATGAATCGTTGAGCGAATCGTTTGGGAGTCGTTGAGCAAGTAAGGAAAAAATAAATGCATATTATAAGACCATGAAAGTGTTTTTTGACCTTGCATGCATGTCAACCTGTTGTTGGGGACTCCCAAAACCAAAATATGAACCTTTCATTACCCCATACCGAATTTTGCATCCGATGTCCCCTTTAGGTTTGGTAGAAATAAAGCTGTTCTCATCACATATAACACATCAGTCAGTAGCTATGTTTCCATCACTCTGTTTTTATGCACATTTTGAAGTATCGCATCAGAAACTACGGAAATGCCAAATTAAAAAAAACAAACCCTTAATTCACAAAAAAAAAACATTAGGGCTTCATTAGTTAACATTAGTTAATTCATTAGTTAACATAAACTGCCAATGAAAAATTCTTCTAAACGTTCATTAATCTTTGGAAATTCCAATATTTAATAACACATTGTTAAAAATAAAAGTAGCAACTGTGTTATTTAATGAGCTAACATGAACTAAGAGTATTTTTATTTTGAACAAAGATTAATAACTTCTGTAGCAAATGTAGATATTGCGCATTGTGAATATTAATGCATTAACTAAGGTTAACTAAAGAGATCTTATTGTAAAGTGATACTTATTGGTCTTTATAATTCTTTTGCACTTTAATCTGTGTACAATTTTTAACTTTATACATTTTTTGTGTATTGCTTTATTGTATTTAAATGTTCAGTTATTTTTGTTATAAGAAAAATGTTATTAAACCTGTATTATGACAACACTTTTTTGCAACTAAATTTCAATACCGTGATAGAAGCATTAGCAATTAATCGCAACATGAAAATTTGATACTGGCATATCCCTAATAACAGCCTCCCAGAACTGTCTTACACAACTGTTGATAGATTAAAAATCATAACAATCCCATAGACTTACATTGACGGAATGTTCAGATGAGCCAAGACTATTCAAACTGCAACTGTGAAAGCAATGACCGCATTTATTGTTTCGTCGTAATTTAGGTTATTAGACATGAAAATGAATATATTCAGTGGCTTCTCTCACTTTCCTCAGTGATATTTAGTGCCAGTTCATCGGGAAGTGACAGTTCTGCTCTCTTTGACACGTTGGATGGTGCTTTGTTCGCAAATGTTTTATGCGATATTCCAATTTTGCGGATAAGTTAAATGTGCATCTTTGGATGGAAACACAGCTAATGACGTGTTCAGTGGAGAGCTGCGAGACACTGACCCGCGTGTCCTCCGCGAGCGCTCGGGCCTTCACACACCGCTGAGAGTCCTCCGTCAGAAACTCCTCACGACCCAGAATAATGTTCCCAGCCGCACTCTTCCCAGAACCACGCCGACCCAGCAGAACCAGCCTCAGCTCAGGCAGAGAAGAGTCGTCCAGACGATCAGAGCAGGAATAGGATGATACACCAGAGAGAGTTTCACTGCCATCCCAAGCCTCGTTGAAACTGTGATGGACTAGAAGGAGAAACATAAGCAAGTGCATCAGTGCCAGCACACGCTCACAGTCTTCACAAACTGATTAGTGTCCTGTGGATTCTAGCTCCAACACACTCGCCTGGAGGTAATCCTGGAGACCTTGCTTAGCTGGCTCAGGTGTGTTTAGTTAGTGTCGGAGCTAAACTCTGCAGGACTGAGGCCCTCCAGGAACAGATTAGTGTGCAGTGTTTGAGCTCCTGCCATCAATCTGACTTGTTGAGGTTATGGTTAGTCTTACTGTTTCCTAACCCTAACCCTAAAATGATCAGATGATCAACTTTCACCTGCTGCACCATATAATCTATATATAATCCCACAGATGCACGCCGAGCCAGAAGATCACAGAGATGGCAGATAGGACAAATCATAAACCTACTGATGTTGCTGAAGCTCTGGCTGTTCTGGACCTCTGGCACCTCCATCATCTGACTGAGAATAGCTCCCTCTAGAGTTACACACACATATAACAGAATCAGTTTAAACATACCATTCTCTCGCCTTCCAATGGGATTCATGTCAAACGTCACCTGACCAAACCGCAAAACAGATCTCGTTGCATACACTATTAACAGCAGAACTAACGGCAAATTAATAAAACAGATCGTTTCGGTGCTTGATTCTGATTGGCTGAGCTGCGTTCGAAGCTGTTGTAAATGACTCTACAAAGTAACATACACCTTTGTTTACGTTTGTCTGTTGCTCGGCAACCACTTTGTAGCAACCACAACTGTTTCTGAGGAGCTACATTGTTTGGTGGAAGAATACTGTTTTTATTCATATCATTACACTTTATTTGCTCTGTTTTATTTTGTGAAACCTTGCTACGTATATGGAATAACCGTTTTATAAAAGCAATAAGCCCCGTGAAGCCGTGGTTTACAGTGAATTTATAACAGCTAACGTAACTAACAACGCCCCTTAGCTGTTATAAATTCACTGTAAACCACGGCTTCTTGGGGCTTATTGCTTTAATCTGTGGATTTTTAAGGTTTATAGTCTTTGGTATCTTTTTTGAGTAAAACAGCTCTATATTTAACGAAGGAAGCATGCACAATGGTCTGAAGTGATGTGACCTGTTTGACAGAACACACAGTTTTTTTGTGCATAACCACAATTAGCAGCAACACGTCTCTCAGCTTTAATATTTGCATGATTAGTTTGATTAGATCAGGCGTGTCCAGTCCTGCTCCTCGAGGGCAGATCAGATCCTGATCAGCTGGTTCAGGTGTGTTTAACTGGAGCTGCAGTGAACTCTGGCCTCCAGGAACAGGATTGGACACTTCTGGATCAGCTGAAGGACTTTCATGTGTTCGTTCAGTCATCCGGTTGGTTTCAGCACCTTTGTTGAGTGTGAAGCTCGGGCTTCTCTCCAGCGGTGTGTGTCGGGAGTGTGTTTCCTCACACTCGCGCTGCTGCGACTGAAGCCCGTTGATCAGGCGTCTCTCAGTCATTACATCACTTCCTGTTTCTCCAAACGTATTGATTTGTGTTTGTTTTCCTCCGTTCCACACCGTGCCTCTGGTTGCACTGAGCTTCATCTCTGTTTTCTCCTGCTCTGTGACGTGTCTCCCGTGTGTTTCCAGGTGAAATCCTCCGTTCCTCTGGAGCATCTGCTCCACCTGAGACACAGGGAACTAGTTAAACATTAGCCAAAATCCTGACAAATTCCTATAAGACTGCAAAAAAACATTTTCTTGCTTAGTATGTTTGTCTTATTTTCTAGTATAAATATCTAAACATTCTTGAATCGAAATGCATTTACTTGACAAGTAAAATGACTTCAGATATTAAGTCTTGTTTTTTTTTTAAATGTTCAAAATTTTGTACGTTTTTGCTTAAAACAAGCACAAACATCTGTTAATAATGAGGTAAGACTAGTCGTGATTGAAAGGCAAAACAAGATTATTTTTCTTGCCTCATTGTCAGATAATTTAGCTTATCATAATTTGTATATTTTTTTCAGAAAATGACATAATATAGTAATTAATTTACTTGTGAAGTAAATTCATCTTGATTCAAGAATTTTTTAGATATTTACATTAGAAAACAAGACAAAAATACTAAGAAACTCATTTTTTGGTAGTGTCAAACTGGACTTTGTCAAGCAAACTCATCCCATCCAAATCAGTCTGAATTGTAAGATCAAAAGTCCATTCTTTTTTTATATAAATGCATTCAATACAGTAATCCCTCCATCGCTCATGGAGTCTCGTGAAAAAACACCACTGAGTCAAGAGTCTGAGAGCAAATGTTCGTGGTCCTGGAATGATTAGGCTCTGATTATATTACCTGGTCTGAGCTCTGGTGAAAGGATGAAAGATCAGAGCTGAACACCAAATCAGACCAGAGCTGCATTTCTCAAAAGCACCAGTAGATTGTGAAGCCCGTTGGTATCAGTGGTTTCTGAGATCTCCGTAGGCTTATGATGCTTTTGAGATGCACAGCTCAGGCGTGTCCAGTTCGCTCCTCGAGGGCCACGTTCCTGCAGAGTTCGGCTCAAACAAGACCTTGGTTAGCTGCTTCAGCTCTTTTAAACTCTGCTGGAAAGACTTCCTCTAGGAGCAGGACTGGAATAGCTAAACGAGTAGCTGTGAACGACAAACTATCATCTTCCAGTCGCTGACCGCTGTCTCCTCACCTTATCCAGCAGAGCGAGGACCTGCTGTCTGTCGTCAGGTCTGCGGTTACTGATCACGTGGCAGCGGCCGTGACACCTCCTCACCACCTCCTGCAGCCCCGCCTCCTTCCCGAGGTACTCCTCCAGACCGCGGCCCATCAGGTATTCTCCACAGGTGAGCAGCACCAGCGTGTGACCCAGCACCGACGGCCCAAACATGTGCTCCAGCTGATCCGGGATGCGCCGCTCCATCTCCGTGAACTCCCCGATGGGAATGAGGATGAGGAAGACGCAGGGCCCGGGAACGCTGGAGCTGAGGAACCGCCGGGTCTCCTCCTGGATGTCAGCCTCCACCTCCTTGCCCCGCCAGTACCAGCGAGGGGTTTCCACGATGCTCAGCCGCCAGCCCGCCGACAGTCCTCGTCGTATCTGACTCACACGGGACGAGGCCGAGGGGCCCGGAGCAGAACTCTGACCCAGCAGGGTGTCCGCTGTCATGGTCTTCCCACAGCCGATGCTGCCCACCAGAACCAAATTTTCTTACTTCGTATTCTTGTCTTGTTTTCTAGTATAAATATCCAAACATTCTTGAATCAAGATGCATTTACTTGAAAAGTGAAATGACTTAAGATATCAAGTCTTGTTCTCTAAAAAAACATCACAATTTTAAGTTTTTTGCTTAAAACGAGCAAAAATGTCTGTCAATGGGGTAAGAAAAAAATCTTAATTCAAAGGCTAAACAAGATTATTTTTCTTTCCCCATTTGCAGATAGTTTTGCTTGTTTTAAGCAAAAACTAATAAAATTGACAATTTTTTCAGAAAACAAGACATAATCTCAAGTCATTTCACTTGTAAAATAAATGCATCTTGATTCAAGAATTTTTTATATATTTATACTAGAAAACGACAAAAATACTAAGAAAATCATTTTGTGCAGTGTACTTAAAATATTTGATGAAAAACAAACTTAGAAACAAAAACAAACAAACAAACAAATAGAAAGGTTGCCTTAGTAACTAGCTGAAATAAGTACAAAAATTACTAAAACTGAAATAAATTTAATAAATAAAGGTAATAAGTTCTTAAAATATTAGATGAAAACCTAAACAAATTATAAATGTTGCCCTAACGAACTTAAATAGTTTAAAATATGAATACAATTTGAAATACTAAAATGACTAAAAATGAAATGAAAATAAAGCTAAACAGAATTATTTTTTTAAATATGATTATAAAATTTATTATTATTATTTATTTATTATTTTTTTAAGGGGGCTTAAAAACATGACCATATGAAATAAAGAAATTGCAACAATTTTCTTCTATACGGACTTGTGCACAACCCTATTTGTATATAATATATATATATTTATAAAACGGATAGTTCCGGTCCTTGATTCTGATTGGTTGAGCCGCGTTTGAAGCTGTTGTAAATTACACTACAAACATACATGTTGCTCGGCAACCACTTTGTTGGAACCACAACTGTTTCTGAGGAACTACATTGTTTGGTGGAAGAATACTGTTTTTATTAATATCATTACACTTTATTTGCTCTGTTTTATTTTGTGAAACCTTGCTACGTATATGGAATAACCGTTTTATAAAAGCAATAAGCCCCGTGAAGCCGTGGTTTACAGTGAATTTATAACAGCTAACGTAACTAACAACGCCCCTTAGCTGTTATAAATTCACTGTAAACCACGGCTTCTTGGGGCTTATTGCTTTAATCTGTGGATTTTTAAGGTTTATAGTCTTTGGTATCTTTTTTGAGTAAAACAGCTCTATATTTAACGAAGGAAGCATGCACAATGGTCTGAAGTGATGTGACCTGTTTGACAGAACACACAGTTTTTTTGTGCATAACCACAATTAGCAGCAACACGTCTCTCAGCTTTAATATTTGCATGATTAGTTTGATTAGATCAGGCGTGTCCAGTCCTGCTCCTCGAGGGCAGATCAGATCCTGATCAGCTGGTTCAGGTGTGTTTAACTGGAGCTGCAGTGAACTCTGGCCTCCAGGAACAGGATTGGACACTTCTGGATCAGCTGAAGGACTTTCATGTGTTCGTTCAGTCATCCGGTTGGTTTCAGCACCTTTGTTGAGTGTGAAGCTCGGGCTTCTCTCCAGCGGTGTGTGTCGGGAGTGTGTTTCCTCACACTCGCGCTGCTGCGACTGAAGCCCGTTGATCAGGCGTCTCTCAGTCATTACATCACTTCCTGTTTCTCCAAACGTATTGATTTGTGTTTGTTTTCCTCCGTTCCACACCGTGCCTCTGGTTGCACTGAGCTTCATCTCTGTTTTCTCCTGCTCTGTGACGTGTCTCCCGTGTGTTTCCAGGTGAAATCCTCCGTTCCTCTGGAGCATCTGCTCCACCTGAGACACAGGGAACTAGTTAAACATTAGCCAAAATCCTGACAAATTCCTATAAGACTGCAAAAAAACATTTTCTTGCTTAGTATGTTTGTCTTATTTTCTAGTATAAATATCTAAACATTCTTGAATCGAAATGCATTTACTTGACAAGTAAAATGACTTCAGATATTAAGTCTTGTTTTTTTTTTAAATGTTCAAAATTTTGTACGTTTTTGCTTAAAACAAGCACAAACATCTGTTAATAATGAGGTAAGACTAGTCGTGATTGAAAGGCAAAACAAGATTATTTTTCTTGCCTCATTGTCAGATAATTTAGCTTATCATAATTTGTATATTTTTTTCAGAAAATGACATAATATAGTAATTAATTTACTTGTGAAGTAAATTCATCTTGATTCAAGAATTTTTTAGATATTTACATTAGAAAACAAGACAAAAATACTAAGAAACTCATTTTTTGGTAGTGTCAAACTGGACTTTGTCAAGCAAACTCATCCCATCCAAATCAGTCTGAATTGTAAGATCAAAAGTCCATTCTTTTTTTATATAAATGCATTCAATACAGTAATCCCTCCATCGCTCATGGAGTCTCGTGAAAAAACACCACTGAGTCAAGAGTCTGAGAGCAAATGTTCGTGGTCCTGGAATGATTAGGCTCTGATTATATTACCTGGTCTGAGCTCTGGTGAAAGGATGAAAGATCAGAGCTGAACACCAAATCAGACCAGAGCTGCATTTCTCAAAAGCACCAGTAGATTGTGAAGCCCGTTGGTGTCAGTGGTTTCTGAGATCTCCGTAGGCTTATGATGCTTTTGAGATGCACAGCTCAGGCGTGTCCAGTTCGCTCCTCGAGGGCCACGTTCCTGCAGAGTTCGGCTCAAACAAGACCTTGGTTAGCTGCTTCAGCTCTTTTAAACTCTGCTGGAAAGACTTCCTCTAGGAGCAGGACTGGAATAGCTAAACGAGTAGCTGTGAACGACAAACTATCATCTTCCAGTCGCTGACCGCTGTCTCCTCACCTTATCCAGCAGAGCGAGGACCTGCTGTCTGTCGTCAGGTCTGCGGTTACTGATCACGTGGCAGCGGCCGTGACACCTCCTCCCCACCTCCTGCAGCCCCGCCTCCTTCCCGAGGTACTCCTCCAGACCGCGGCCCATCAGGTATTCTCCACAGGTGAGCAGCACCAGCGTGTGACCCAGCACCGACGGCCCAAACATGCGCTCCAGCTGATCCGGGATGCGCCGCTCCACCTCCGTGAACTCCCCGATGGGAATGAGGATGAGGAGGACGAAGGGCCCGGGAGCGCTGGAGCCCAGGAACCGCCGGGTCTCCTCCTGGATGTGGGCCTCCAGCTCCTGACCGCACCAGTACCAGCGAGGGGTCTCCACGATGCTCAGCCGCCGGCCCCCCGACAGTCCGCTCCGGATCTGAGTCACGCGGGACGAGGCCGAGGGGCCCGGGGCCGAGCTCTGACCCAGCAGGGTGTCCGCTGTCATGGTCTTCCCACAGCCGATGCTGCCCACCAGAACCAAACACAGCTCGGAGCGGGAACGGCCAGAGCCGACTGAAACACAGAACCAGACACTAATAAGCAGAGCTGGGAAGGATACTTTGGAAATGTAACAGGTTACAGATTACAATTTAGCCTATTTAAAGTGTAAATTTTTCTTTTATGCCAAAAATCATTAGGATATTAAGTAAAGATCATGTTCCATGAAGACATTTTGAAAATTTCCTACCGTAAATATATCAAAACTTAACTTTTGATTAGTAATATGCATTGCTAAGAACTTCATTTGAACAACTTTAAAGATGATTTTCTCAATATTTAGATTTTTTGCAGATTTTCAAATAGTTGTATCTCAGCCAAATATTATCCTAGCCTAACAAACCGTACATCAGTGGAAAGATTATTTATTCAGCTTTCAGATGATGCATATATCTCAATTTCAAAAAATTGACCCTTATGACTGGTTTTGTGCTCCAGGGTCACATTTTCACAAGTAACTGTGATTTACAGATTACAGTTACATTTATTTTGAAATTAAATCACGTAACTCCATGACATGCAACTAGTTACTTCCCAACACTGCTAATAAACACAAAACCAGACTCTATGAACTCATTCATCCGTCGCAACTGCTTTGAGCCGTAGACGTGTAATAACTCTGCCGACACTGATCGATGACATCACAGAGAGTCAAAGCTTCAGTAGTGACGTCACAGACAGCAGACCGACACTTTTAACAAACTTCAAGAGCCTCCAGAAACTGAGAAACATCTGGAACTACGATAACTTAATACATTTCTGGGGTTTCAGCACCTCATCCATTTTTAGACTTCAGACTTTTAGTTTCAGACTCTATTTTGAGTTTCATGTGATTAATATCTCTTTGTCTTCAAGCATTCCTGTAGTATGCGAGACACCTGTTAGTCCAGTTACGCAGCATTCAGCAGACCACTCTCTCTCTCTCACACACACACACACACACATCAGTAACAGAAAATATAACTTCAACAGAGTAAATAATTAAACTAGTCTAGTGTGTGTGTGTTTCTCCTCACTGTCACGAACATGCCATGTTTAATAAAATGACTAATTTAATGAAATGTGAAATTTAGAGTCAATTACAAGCCCTTGCTGTGCTGCAGGAGAACATGAAGATGTGAGGAAGAGTGTGGTGATCCGACAGTCTTACCCTGATCAGAGGAATCCATGTGTGTCCGTCTCTCTCTGCTGATCTGAGTGGGAAGCGTCTCTGTGTGTGTCCTCTCGTGTCAGAGACGTGTCACACCTCTTGTCTTGTGTGTGAATCACAGCGATGCAGCCGCACCCAGACCCACCAAACCTGCATCAGCCGCTCACACGACTCTGAACCCAGCCTAGACTGGTTCGATGGTGTTCAGTTGTTAAGGTTTGTGGCCCTGGGCAGCTGAGAAGTGCTCAAAACCCCTCTAAACCTGAGAGCAGAGCAGGCTTTTCAGCAGGACAGGAGGACTTGCTGTTTCTACAAAGCTCAACTTCTTACTTTCACATCCAGAGACTCCATGAGTTGAGTTTTATCTAGTTTTTGAGCGCAGAAACAATCTAGTGTCTAACCTCAAGCTCACAGATGCGTCAAGTCTCTTTAAACAGAGCATCTGTGACATTAAACCGGATGTGTTTTTATTCAGGAAGAGTTAGGGTTAACTTTGAATTAACTCGCCCGGTGAGATTCTCTGCATCAGGACTAGAGAAGAAACTCCTGCTGATGTCTGTAACGCTGAGAACGCTTCACACTGAATCATTTCTGAAAGCCCACTTTATATTCTCAAACCCAAAATATTCCAACTACAAAACCCACGGCCCACTCCAGAGTTAAAAGAACATACTAAAATGGATTTTATTGAGGAAAAACAACAGAAATACAAAATCAACATTAGATCAGATAAAACTGGAGCGCAGGTTTGAGAAGCATGTTAAAAGTTGAAGTGTCTGTGAGTTGCAGTGCAAAACTGCGCCAGTCGTAAAGTCTTTAGTGGATGTTTGATCAGACGCTGAGGAGCAGCTGGCAGCAGCATCGGGACACGAGTCCTTCACAGACCCGGCATCACGTATGCGATGTTGTCCAGAGTGTTTGACTGACCACAGACACACACAGAGAGCAAATCATTTCTGGTGCTGATGTTAGTGATGATACTGATGTTTAAGTGTTAAAGCTGTGGAGGGTCAGTACCAGCACATGATGTGGACAGCCGTTGAGTTCTGAGACAGGCCAGCGGACCCAGAGCACACAACACCGAGTCCAGCAGAACCGACAGAGAGCCGGAGACCGTCACCATCCCCTGAAACACACACACACACACACACACACAGAGACACACACACACACACAGACAGACACACACACACACACACACACAGAGACAGACACACACACACACACACACAGAGACAGACACACACACACACACACACAGAGACAGACACACACACACACACACACAGAGACAGACACACACACACACACACACAGAGACAGACACACACACACACACACACAGAGACAGACACACACACACACACACACAGAGACAGACACACACACACACACACACAGAGACAGACACACACACACACACACACAGAGACAGACACACACACACACACACACAGAGACAGACACACACACACACACACACAGAGACAGACACACACACACACACACACAGAGACAGACACACACACACACACACACAGAGACAGACACACACACACACACACACAGAGACAGACACACACACACACACACACAGAGACAGACACACACACACACACACACAGAGACAGACACACACACACACACACACAGAGACAGACACACACACACACACACACAGAGACAGACACACACACACACACACACAGAGACAGACACACACACACACACACACAGAGACAGACACACACACACACACACACAGAGACAGACACACACACACACACACACAGAGACAGACACACACACACACACACACAGAGACAGACACACACACACACACACACAGAGACAGACACACACACACACACACACAGAGACAGACACACACACACACACACACAGAGACAGACACACACACACACACACACAGAGACAGACACACACACACACACACACAGAGACAGACACACACACACACACACACAGAGACAGACACACACACACACACACACAGAGACAGACACACACACACACACACACAGAGACAGACACACACACACACACACACAGAGACAGACACACACACACACACACACAGAGACAGACACACACACACACACACACAGAGACAGACACACACACACACACACACAGAGACAGACACACACACACACACACACAGAGACAGACACACACACACACACACACAGAGACAGACACACACACACACACACACAGAGACAGACACACACACACACACACACAGAGACAGACACACACACACACACACACAGAGACAGACACACACACACACACACACAGAGACAGACACACACACACACACACACAGAGACAGACACACACACACACACACACAGAGACAGACACACACACACACACACACAGAGACAGACACACACACACACACACACAGAGACAGACACACACACACACACACACAGAGACAGACACACACACACACACACACAGAGACAGACACACACACACACACACACAGAGACAGACACACACACACACACACACAGAGACAGACACACACACACACACACACAGAGACAGACACACACACACACACACACAGAGACAGACACACACACACACACACACAGAGACAGACACACACACACACACACACAGAGACAGACACACACACACACACACACAGAGACAGACACACACACACACACACACAGAGACAGACACACACACACACACACACAGAGACAGACACACACACACACACACACAGAGACAGACACACACACACACACACACAGAGACAGACACACACACACACACACACAGAGACAGACACACACACACACACACACAGAGACAGACACACACACACACACACACAGAGACAGACACACACACACACACACACAGAGACAGACACACACACACACACACACAGAGACAGACACACACACACACACACACAGAGACAGACACACACACACACACACACAGAGACAGACACACACACACACACACACAGAGACAGACACACACACACACACACACAGAGACAGACACACACACACACACACACAGAGACAGACACACACACACACACACACAGAGACAGACACACACACACACACACACAGAGACAGACACACACACACACACACACAGAGACAGACACACACACACACACACACAGAGACAGACACACACACACACACACACAGAGACAGACACACACACACACACACACAGAGACAGACACACACACACACACACACAGAGACAGACACACACACACACACACACAGAGACAGACACACACACACACACACACAGAGACAGACACACACACACACACACACAGAGACAGACACACACACACACACACACAGAGACAGACACACACACACACACACACAGAGACAGACACACACACACACACACACAGAGACAGACACACACACACACACACACAGAGACAGACACACACACACACACACACAGAGACAGACACACACACACACACACACAGAGACAGACACACACACACACACACACAGAGACAGACACACACACACACACACACAGAGACAGACACACACACACACACACACAGAGACAGACACACACACACACACACACAGAGACAGACACACACACACACACACACAGAGACAGACACACACACACACACACACAGAGACAGACACACACACACACACACACAGAGACAGACACACACACACACACACACAGAGACAGACACACACACACACACACACAGAGACAGACACACACACACACACACACAGAGACAGACACACACACACACACACACAGAGACAGACACACACACACACACACACAGAGACAGACACACACACACACACACACAGAGACAGACACACACACACACACACACAGAGACAGACACACACACACACACACACAGAGACAGACACACACACACACACACACAGAGACAGACACACACACACACACACACAGAGACAGACACACACACACACACACACAGAGACAGACACACACACACACACACACAGAGACAGACACACACACACACACACACAGAGACAGACACACACACACACACACACAGAGACAGACACACACACACACACACACAGAGACAGACACACACACACACACACACACAGAGACACACACACACACACAGGCAAGAATAAGTTTGCCTGTAACACCTCACTTTCACTTTTCATAAGTTTGTGAACCCTTTGAACATGTATAGATGTCTGCAATGATTACTCACAAACTATGGTCTGATCTTCCTTTAAGATCTTCTTGGCTAAACTAATAACACAAACGACTGCACGTTTCACTCTTTCATTGAGGACAGTGAGTGATGACTGACAGGGCTGTTTGAAGGGTTCAGAAACTTCTTGCAACTGTAATTGTATTTACAACACATTGTGTTTTGGTGCGTGTCGTTGTGTATTTACATGTATGTGTCTGTGAATTTCAGTGGGTATATAAATATGTATGAACGTGCGCGTGTGTTTCAGTGTGTATTTGAGTGAGTTTGAACGTGTTTGTGTTGTTGTTGTTGTTATCTTCTATGCTAACACACTAACCGACAAAACTTATAACGTTACTAGTGATTCACAGCATATTTCAGATAAACCGAAGCGCGCTCAACTGAGAAACAAACCATTACAGACCCATACAACCGCGATAAAATGTAAGTTCATTCATTCAAACATAATTTGCGTCTATTACCTTCATCAAGTTTCAACCGTCTGCTGCCGCCATCTTGGCTCTGCGCTGCGCGGTCAGTTTCTCGAGCGTGTGACGTCATCTCGCACTCGAGCGCCTCCAGCGGACAGGCGGAACGAGCGCCGCTGCTCGACGACTTGTGAAAATGATGTATTATTTCAATAAAATACTATTTTACGAACGATTTACACTGCTCGTATTTCATGAATGAGGCATGCAACATTACCCTGAAATAACACACACAGGCGATGTACCTTACAAACAATATTCTCCTGAGCTAAATATCTGCATTTAAATATGGATCTGTTACAGAACTGTGGATTTCTCTGATAAAGCTTCAGTGACGCACTGATTTACTTTGCCGAAAAGATTCCTGCTATGTTGGGGAGAAGCCTAACTAGTTACATGTAACCTAGCTAATGGAGTTACCTAATTTAATTACAAAATTAAATGTAACTGCAATCAGTTACAGTTACTGAGAAAAAAAGTGTAATTAAATTACAGTTACCTGTAAATGATAAAATGTTAAGTATTACAAAGGGGGGGTTACATCTGGATATTTTCTCACACACACACACACACACACACACACACTCTTACTCTCTCTCTCTCTCACACACACACACACTCTTACTCTCTCTCTCTCTCACACACACACACACTCTTACTCTCTCTCTCTCTCACACACACACACACTCTTACTCTCTCTCTCTCTCACACACACACACACTCTTACTCTCTCTCTCTCTCACACACACACACACTCTTACTCTCTCTCTCTCTCACACACACACACACTCTTACTCTCTCTCTCTCTCACACACACACACACTCTTACTCTCTCTCTCTCTCACACACACACACACTCTTACTCTCTCTCTCTCTCACACACACACACACTCTTACTCTCTCTCTCTCTCACACACACACACACTCTTACTCTCTCTCTCTCTCACACACACACACACTCTTACTCTCTCTCTCTCTCACACACACACACACTCTTACTCTCTCTCTCTCTCACACACACACACACTCTTACTCTCTCTCTCTCTCACACACACACACACTCTTACTCTCTCTCTCTCTCACACACACACACACTCTTACTCTCTCTCTCTCTCACACACACACACACTCTTACTCTCTCTCTCTCTCACACACACACACACTCTTACTCTCTCTCTCTCTCACACACACACACACTCTTACTCTCTCTCTCTCTCACACACACACACACTCTTACTCTCTCTCTCTCTCACACACACACACACTCTTACTCTCTCTCTCTCTCACACACACACACACTCTTACTCTCTCTCTCTCTCACACACACACACACTCTTACTCTCTCTCTCTCTCACACACACACACACTCTTACTCTCTCTCTCTCTCACACACACACACACTCTTACTCTCTCTCTCTCTCACACACACACACACTCTTACTCTCTCTCTCTCTCACACACACACACACTCTTACTCTCTCTCTCTCTCACACACACACACACTCTTACTCTCTCTCTCTCTCACACACACACACACTCTTACTCTCTCTCTCTCTCACACACACACACACTCTTACTCTCTCTCTCTCTCACACACACACACACTCTTACTCTCTCTCTCTCTCACACACACACACACTCTTACTCTCTCTCTCTCTCACACACACACACACACACACTCTCTCTCTCTCTGACACACACACACACACACTCACACACACACACACACACACACACACACACAAACACACATGCCATTAATAATAAAAATGTGATTGTATGTTTATCATTATATAGTTCAGAATAATTCAAATGTTGAAATGTACTTACAAACACAGTCATTTTGTAACCATGTATATATGCCTTTGTGTTATTAATACTATATTTTTGTAATAAAATCTGTTTAAGGATTCATTGTTACTGAATGTTGCATTATTTCTTGGCATGGTTTTATGATCTCAAATGTAACTCATGGTTCTGGCATGTTTAGACTAATATCCAGTTTCTTATGATTACTGTATAATAGTGCATATATTCACATAGGAATTTATTCTTTTATCCACTGATTTTACTTGCCTATTTTTATTTATTTATTTTTTTACAGCCGTGTAATAAGACCTGGCTACACAAGAATAATTCCCAGTATTGTTAGTGTTTAATGTAATAGAATAGCGTTCCAATCACACCAAGGACAACAACAATAAGATTTTAACAATCATTCTAATCCACACACGGCTATAACGATAACAACACAGAGGAACAAAACTGGAATCACTTTCAAAACTATTTTGTTTCCAGCTGAGAAGCAATAAAAAGACCGACGACAGCCAATCAGAATCCATCTGACTTTAAAGACCGCGAACATTTAAAGCGACAGAGGACAAAACTGCAGATCATAAATAATACACAGAACATTAAAGTTATCGTTCTTGGTGTGAACGGCTCTTAAATCTGATTCTCCATCACATATTCTTCATATCTGCTTTGGACATGAGTTTGAGCAAATGGCACAATTTGAATATTTCAGAGAAAAAATACAAACAAACCGCATTATGTACAGATCGGCTGCTTGTGATGCTTTGTCTGATAATCACATATGAATTACTGCTACACAATATTAACGGACACAATCTGAGACAAACATGAGCATTATAGTGTCTACTTAATATGATGACATTCAGTCAGAGGTATGGTTATCATCCCACCATCAGTGTTCAATCAGTCATCCGTGTTAAACAGGCTTAACAGTTCATCCAACAACGAAAATGTGCTGATCCTCAGGTCATCCGAGATCAGGATGAGTTTGTTTCTTCATCAGGTTTGTAGAAATGTAGCACTGCATCAGTGTCTCAGCAATGGATGCTCTGCAGTGAATGGGTGCCGTCAGAATGAGAGTCCAAACAGCTGATAACAACATCACAATAATCCACAAGTAATCCACAGCACTCCAGTCCATCAGTTAACATCTGGAGAAGACAAAAGCTGAAACACATCCAGCATTAAGACGTTTTTAACTAAAATACATAGAGTTCATAATCCATAATAACTCTTCCTCCAGTGAAAAAGTGCATCTGCTGTTGTCTCTCACATCAAAATCCAGCCACATATGTGTTTAGAGCTGTTTAAACGCTGCTTGATCTGTGCAGATTTCTCTCCTGATTCACACCAGAACACTTTGTGCGCATCACGCGGATCGATATCAGAGCGAGCGTCAAATATCGTGTGAATAAGAAACGAGCGATTCATTTGATCATGTTGTGGCTACAAGTGTTACAGCTCCGACCGGAAACTAACAATGAAATGTAACTTTCTGCTTAATAGATTGTGTTTTATTAACGTCTACACCTACGCCAGCCCTTACAATAATGCAAACATAGTAATTATTGTTGTACAGTGTGACAAAAATGACGCTGTATTGATGTGCGCATGCAGTAGTTTTAGCTATATGCCTTCTAGCCTTACAACAAACATTCTGGGCCCTTATTCTCAAAACATCTTCAGGCTAAAAGTAGCTCATAACTCACCGATTTAGGAGAAAATCTTAAAAATAATGAGTGAGTCAGTTCTAAATTTAGGGCTCCTAAATGTTTTGCTCTAGGAGTATTTCACAAAGCGTTTTAGCGCTAAAACTAGCTCCTAAATCTGTGAAAGGTTAGGAGAAGTGAAGAGGAGTCCTGTCACTAACTATCCTCCCTGCTGAAGAAAAAAAACAATACAAACCATCACAGAAGTGCTAATGGTTTCCACTACAGATACCATTACAAACCATCCACTATTAACCTTTAAAACCATTAAATAATGGTTTTCTGTACTGTGTTTTGGGACATATTCCATGAGGATTTATTGGTTTTAACAAGCCACCAACAGAAGGCGACTGATTACCAGTAGAGACCCACAGGGACCATCACAGTTTCCATTAAAACCAATACATTAGTTATCTCAACTCCAGATTTTCCTTTGATTTGATCCTTGTTTTCATTAAGCAGTTGAGCAAGAAGTAACAGCTGTTCCTGCGTAAAGTTTTTACGTTTGCATGTCTTACTATCAGCCATGATTATTCTACTCTCTTAATTAAAAGGCTGTTTATACGCATATTCACTAATTGTTTACGAGACGCATACGGGCTGACAATTAGCTGAACATATACTTGTTTAATTAGTGACACTTTAAACAATTTTATTTATTTGAATGTGGCAACATAATATCGCGCTCTACAATATTTCCATGAATAAATCTCTGACAGAGACTATCAGCCAATCACTGTGTGCATAGCTAATAAGCTTGATGACATCATCCATAGCAACGAGGTTAGCCCCGCCCCCTTACTCTGAGCTTCTCTCTATTCTTTAGTACAAGTTTGTCTCAGCAGCTTTGTGAATAGGTTTGAAGAGAAAACTCTTAGCTAAAAACTTGTACTGCTATTTAGGAGAACTCTTAGTGGTAAGTTAAAATGTTTTGTGAACACGGGCCCTGTCCTTTAAACTTAATCATAACACAAGAAATAATTGATCAGACACTCTCGCTCTTATGTATTGTATCTTTATTATAGCATACTCTCTATACAAGTATTATGTGCACAATAAAATAAAACATTGACAAAAATGTCAACAGCTTCAGGTAACATGTCAATGCTGTGTTTTATTTACAGAACATGACTGGAAAACTAATTCTGCCTCCAGTCAGTGGGAAATAGCACCTTTGATTCATAAAACAAACAAAAAGAAACAATCTTCAACAATCTATTTAACGTGTCTAATTATATGTTTCATATCTATACACAAGCATAATATAGAGGAGTTAAACACATATCACTAACACTGAGGAATCTGAGTCTAACTGCACTAGTGTCTCAATCACTGGCATATGAACATGAAAAATCATTCTTCCAGTGAAAGGACAACAAAACCTGAAATCATCTACATTAAGTTGTCTGGCGTAAAAACACACTAAATGTCTTGGAAAAAATGAACAAAAATACAGGAAAGTATGTGTGAGTGTATCAATATATCAGTATGAAGACATTAGAAGTCAATGTAAAGAGAGTGTGTGTGTGTGTGTGTGTGTGTGTGTGTGTGTGTGTGTTAGTATGGGATTGGTCCATAATACGCTGTATAAGCCGCTATGATCCCGGCGGTTTCAGCCATGTGTTCACAGGCCAGATTCACTTCACACACCTCTTGCAAACTGAAGGACGGAGAGACAAAAACCAGCATGAGAATCACAACACACACGCTTCTTCATCAGTCAATTATCAGTGATCATATGACGTGATCAGACATTGATGAGCATCAGAGGAGCTACAGTCAAACCAAAATTTATTTAGAAACCTTCAACATTTCTCCCATTATCACAGTTTATTCGCTATAGTTTAGAAAATGGTTAAAGATGAGTTAAACTGAGTCAGAACAAACTCATCTTGATAATGTCAGATAACTTTGATAGAAAGGTATGGAATGAATTCTGTTGAATAGCTGTCAGCTGTTAAATTTAAGAACACAATTAGATAATAGCAATTTAGCTCAACCAATTACCAAGCAATGCTTCATTTAGTTCAGTCTGTGGTGTAAAAAGATCACATTAGCAATTAAAGAAAAACACGTAAGCTAAACATGATCAGGTCAAAGTGTCTGAATCATTTTTGGTCCCCAAATTTTTTTATCAGTTTTACTGGTAGTCCACTGTATGAAGAATTTCTGGGTATAATATGTCACAGTTTACTTTATTTATCCTCACTTACATACTTAGATGTGTGTGTCTGTGTGTGTGTGTGTGTATTAGATGTGTGTTTCTGTGTGTGTATGTGTGTGATTGACCTCTCCAGCTGCTGAGGGCTCAGGTTGGCTGCAGGAGCTCCAGCTCTCCGGTGTCGAAGCAGTGAA